TAGAGTAGAGTAGAGTAGAGTAGAGTAGAGTAGAGTAGAGTAGAGTAGAGTAGAACAGAACAGAACAGAACAGAACAGAACAGAATAGAATAGAATAGAATAGAATAGAATAGAATAGAATAGAATAGAATAGAACAGAACAGAACAGAACAGAATAGAATTCTTAATTGGCCAAGTGTGATTGGACACACAAGGAATTTGTCTTGGTGCATATGCTCTCAGTGTACATAAAAAGAAAAGATACATTCGCCAAGAATCAACATTTGTCAAGAATCTACTCCTTTCTCTTTTGCTCAGCGTATTCAGGTAGTCCTCAACATACGACCACAATTGAGCCCAAAATTTATGTTGTTAAGTGAGTTTTGCTCCATTTTACAACTTTTCTCACATCTTGTTAAGCGAATCAACGCCGTTCTTAAATTAGTAACACGGTTGTTTGTTAAGTGAATCGGGCTTCACCCCATTGACTTTGCTTTGTCAGAAGGTCGCAAAAGAGGATCATGTGACTCCGGGACACTGCAACCCGTCATAAATGTGAGTCGATTGTCAAGCATTCAAATGTCGGTTGTCAACCAGCTAATCAAATAGTATTTCTCCTCAGATCCATAATGACCATTTGGTTGCCTCAGATCCATAATGATTTTATGGATCTGAGGTAACCAAATGGTCATTATGGATCTGAGGAGAAATACTATTTGATTAGCTGGTGAACCTTGTTTTTTAAAAGTGCTGCTAAACTGGAAGATTTTGGCAGAGAAGAACCCAGTAGAAAGCAAAAAAAGAAAATCTTGTTTATCTGAAGGAGGAAGGATTTTGGTCACTGGCAAGGAAAGAGACAAATAGGAGTGACAGTACAAATTGAAATGTTCTCTTCTTTGCACGCAAGAGTTAGGTTCCCGCTTTCGAACACGGAGACACAAAGCAAAAGTTAATGATTACGAAATCTCCTTTGCAAATTCAGTCCTTGCAGGGCTTAAAAAACTCAGTGCTACATGTACACTTTACACACTCACAAGGGCGCAGGTTCAGAGTTAAGAGGACAACAAAGGGCAGCCTGAATTGTTTCGTTCCAAAAGAGTCTGTGCTCGTTTTTTTTTACCGAATTGGGTTATACGTGGACTTTTTTTAAAAAAAATTCTCCATCCAATTTGAGGGCAGAGAAAAACGATTTCTCCAAGCGAAGGAGGAAATATCCCACTTCTGTTCTCTTGAAATGCTACAAGTAAATGTCACTACTGAAAAAGTCCCCGTGGAGAAAAATTATTTTGGGGATTGAATGGAAACAGGGAGAGCCAGCGAGTTTGCACACCACTAGAGAGAGAGATTTTTTTAAAAGGATGTTCATCTAGACCAGAAGTGGGGGAACACACGGCCCCTTTATGACTTGGGGACTTGGGGAATTCTGGGAGTCCCCAAGTCATAAAAGCAGAGGTGGTATTCAGAGCAGGTTCTTACCAGTTCTGAAGAACTGGTAGCGGAAATTTTGAGTAGTTCGGAGAACCGGTAAATACCACCTCTGACTGGCCCTGCCCCCATCTATTCTCCGCCTCCCGAGTCCCAGCTGATTGGGAGGAAATGGGGATTTTGCAGTAACCTTGTCCTGCCACGCCTACTAAGCCATGCCACGCCCACTAAGCCACGCCCACCGAACCGGTAGTAAAAAAATTTGAATCCCACCACTGCGATGATAAAAGGGCTATTGTTCACCACCCCTGATCTAGACTAAATGTTCCTCAGTCTTGGCCACTTGAAGATGTGTGGACTTCAACTCTGACTGGAGAATTCTGGGAGTTGTGCAGTCCACACATCTTCAAATGGCCCCAAAGTTCAGAAATATTGATCTAGAACATCTGTGGGCCATCGCTAATAAAATAAGGTCATAAAATGGGGCAAAACTCATTTTAACAGCTCCCTCGCTTAGTAACAGAAACCTGAAGTGTAGTCGTAAGTCAAGGACTACCTGTGTATAATGCAACATATGCCCAAGATGTTCCCAATATGAATAATCAACTTACAACAATTCGCTTACTTACCGTTCGAAGTTATGGCACTGAAAAAAGTGACATAAGCATTTTTCACACTTACGACCATTGTAGCATCCTCACGGTCACATGATTTACATTCGGATGCTTGACAACTGACTCACATTTACAACGGTTGCAGTGTCCCGGGGTTATGTGATCCTCTTTTGTGACCTTCTGAGAATGAAATCCACTGGGGTGGGGAAACCAGATTCACTTAACAGCCCTGTTACTAATTTAACTACTGCAGTGATTCACTTAACAACTGAACAAGAAAACAAGAAAAGTCGTAAAACGAGTCAAAATTCACTTACCAACAGAAATTGTGGTCTCAGTTCCAGCCATAAGTCGAGGACTACCTGTATTAATTTAAGATTAAGATTAATAATGATTATTTAAGATCCCATTATTAATCTTCAATAGGGGATATTCTTAAAGAATACTGTAACCCACAAACACAACCTGTTTTCTAGAAGTTGCACTTTTTAAGATTCTACCCATGTAGGAAAGTCGTAACATGAAGACTAGAAGAATGTATAATCAGTTTATCCAATTGACCTCAATGCCTTTTAGGTTGCATAGCAACCCAGGTCCACCGTCCTGGCATAGATTTGCTTTCTTGAAAGTAATTTCTCTTGACAAACTCACTTAACAAATATTTCACTTAGCCACATAAAGTTTGGGCTCAATTGTGGTCGTAACTCGAGGATTACCTGTACGTCATGAATTCGAACAGCAATTTTCCCATGGGCTGTCTTAACCTCCTTAAGTTGGAAAATACATTCAAATGAAAACGTACTAGCTCCGTGATTGGGAACCTATGGCATGTGTGCCACCTGTGGCACGTGGAGCCATATTTGCAGGCATGTGAGCCGTTGCTTAGCTTAGCTCCAGCGCGCATGTGCGCGCTGGCCAGCTAATTTTCAGCTGGTCCTACCTACACAGCCCCTCCCCTCCCAGGAGTCTCCATGCGGCCCGTTTTGGATGCCAGGTGAATACAGGGCTCATGCGGAGGCTCTGGGAGGGCATTTTTAGTCTCCAGAGGACCTCTGGGGGAGTGGGGGAGGCTGTTTTCACTCTCCCCAGGCTCCAGGAAAGCCTCTGGAGCCTGGGGAGGGCAAAGAACGGGCCTACCATGCCCACCGGAAGTCAGGAAATAGGCCATTTCCAGCCTCCGGAGGCTCCAGGGAGGCCTGCTAGGCTGAAAACAGGGTGCAGGGGGTCATCCGTGCGGGGTCATGCCCATATGCGTAGGGTGAGGGAAGACAGTGAATTATGGGTGTGGGCACGGTTGTGCGTGACCCCCCCTGCTCCCTCCGCTTTTGGCACATGACGGCAAAAAGGTTAGCCATCACTGTACTAGCTCATGAAAAAATTGGCCTGTTGAAAGACCAGCTATAAAATTACGTCTACACCAGGGGTCCCTAAACCCCCCCTGGTCTGTGGATGGGCACCTGACTATGGGATGCCAGCAACCGGTCCGTGCAAACAAACGAAGTCCCATCTGTGGGATGCAGGCAGCACTCTAAACCATGTCCAGAGGTGGTATTCAACCGGTTCAGGCGAACCGGTAGTGGAAATTGCTGGTGGGACTGCCCACCCACCCCGGCTCTATGCCGTCTTATTTAGGCACGTTTTTGAGGCCGGGCGCATGCACGGAAGGCGTGCACATGAGCAAAGTGCATGTACGAAAGACTGGGCGCATGCACAGAAGGCATGTGCAAAAAGCAAGCAAGTGGCGAACCGATGATAACAAAATATGAAACCCACCACTGACCACGTCCCCTCCGGTCTGCGGAAAATCTCCACAGAATCGGTCCCTGGTTTCCAAAAGTTTGGGGGCCACCGATCTACACCATACCCAAAGCAGCAAAGGGCAGGATTTTTCCTATCTCAAAATGCGGATGGAAGAACAGAGAGTTCAGTTTCACCGTGATTCTGGAACATCCCGATCTGGAACAACGCGATCAGAGAAAAACCACTGCCTGGTATCAAATTACTTGCCACTTTATTAGCCTCAAAATCTGGGTCACATTGACCCAAGGAGAGACAACCTGAGAATATTACTCAAAGCGCTTCAGCAGCCAGTAGTAGCACAGGAATATTCACATTATTTTGACACCAGCGTTCACACGGCATTTCATAAAATCTTATCCTTAAGCTAGACCAGATACAGGTAGCCCTCGACTTACGACCATTTGGTTTAGTGACCATTCAAAGTTGCAATGGCACTGAAAAAAAAGCGACTTACAACCCATCCTCGCACTTATGACCATTGCAGCATTCCCCACAGCTGTGTGATCAGAATCTGGGCATTTGGCAACCAGCATTTATTTATGATGGTTGCAACAATCCTGGGATCGCTATTTACAATCTTCCCAGCCAGTTTCCAACCAGCAAAGTCAGTGTGGGAAGCCGGATTTGTTGAATGACGGCATCATTCACTTAGCGACCCGCAGGGATTCTCTGAATAATGGTGGCAAAGAAGGTGGTGAAATCACCCGTCATTCATTTAATGACTGCCTTGCTTAGCCACAAAATGTTTGGTTCCCAACTGTGTTTGAAAATGAAGGCTCGCCTACATAGGTAGTCCTCGACTTACTACAGTTGGTTTAGTGTCCGCCCAAAGTTACACTGAAAAAAGGCGACTTATGACCCTTTTTCACAGACTTATGACCATTGCAGCATCCCCAGGGTCACATGATCAAAATCCAGATGTTTGGCAACTGGTTCATATTTTAAGATTGAAGGAATTGGGTATGACTAGTCTATTGAAAAGAAGGACTAGGGGAGACATGATAGCAGTGTTCCAGTATCTCAGGGGCTGCCACAAAGTAGAGGGAGTCAAGCTATTCTCTCTCTCTCTTTTTCTTTTTTATTAAAGAGTTTTACTAGTCTCCAAAGCACCTGAGGTTAGGACAAGAAGCAATGGGTGGAAACTAATCAAGGAGAGAAGCAACCTTGAACTGAGGAGAAATTTCCTGACAGTTAAAACAATTAATCAGTGGAACAACTTGCCTCCAGAAGTTGTAAATGCTCTAATAATGGAAGTTTTTAAGAGGAGACTGAACATTTGTCTGAAATAATATAGAGTCTCCTGCCTGAGCAGGGGGTTGGACTAGAAGACCTCCAAGGTCCCTTCCAACTCCGTTATTTTATGTTTTATAAACTATGTGGGAATAATGGCAAGCAGAAAAGTTATGATAAACAGCCTGCCCCCTCTGGTCATGTGATCCCATTATGGACATTAAACAACTGGCCCTCATTTATGGTCATTTGCAGTGTCCTGCTACCCCATGACCAGATTTTACAACTTAAACACAGAAAATGTGCAATTTAAAGCAGAAAATCAACCATTGCAAACAATGGATTCACTTAATGACTGCTGTGGTGGCTTTATGCCTGCCATGGCCGCTTAACAATCCCTGCCCCAAAAAAATAAAAAATGGCTGGACATGGGTACTTGATGGCCCACTGAACAAATGACAGAATTTACGACCGTATTTCCAGCACAACATGACTGTATTTTATGGTCGTAAGTTGTTGCCTTTTGACTTACAAGAATTCTGCAGTTTCCCCAACCCAGCTCATATTGGGTAAAGAAACCCTTGCAATGGTTTAATTATGAAGAATTTTTTTTTCAGTTGGGGTCGATGTGTAGAAATAATAATTGTTCTTGGCTCTACCTTTCCAGAATAATCAGGATTTCAAACAAGCAATTATCCAGGTCCCATAAAATCATAAATACCTATTTGTCACAGACAGGCGGTGGCCAGAGAAGACAAGCTTCTTTTAAACAACCATAAAGCTCTAAAAACAAACAAAGCTTCACCTATTGTATATATATATTCTTCCTCAACAATTTCGACGAGACCAAACTGCATCTACCTCAAGAGTTTTAAGATCGGGACATAGAAAATAAAGGATTCTTACTGGGTTTTATTTGGTGGGTTTTTAATGTTGTAAGCTACTATACGTGGAGTGGCCTCTGTGTGAGTTGAGCAGCCATATAAATGTATACATTAAATAAAAATAAATAAGTACCGATAAAGGAGGAGATTTGTAGCTTGGGGTTGAAATGAGGGGGGGGGGGTGTCTTTGATGCTCTCTCAGCTTGGTTGTTTTCTTGCAGATGTTTCATTACCCAAATATTGATGATGTTACCTAGTTTGGTTAATGAAATTTATTTATTTTATTAATTTGTTCAACTTGTATGCCGCCTTTCTCCGAAGACTCAAGGTGGCTTAAGATGTCTGCAAGAAAACAGCCAAGCTCAGAGAACACCAAAAAACGCCTCAAATAAATAAACATTCACTCTTATATTCTGTTACTTTCCACTTTTAGGAGGTACATTAGCCTGGTTTTTTTTTTTTCCTTTCTGATTTCAGCACATTAACCTATTTCTTTCAAGCATTCCCCTTGGTTAACTCCTCTTCCTTTTCTTCTAAACTCCGCAATATAATTATCTTGTCTACGCAAACGCAGAAACTAATGGCCGTTGACTTCTTCGGAGGCACGGAGGGTGCCTTAGTAAAGTTTACTAAAACACAGACACCTCCCCCCCCCCCTTTTGTTAATGCAGTTTGCAAGGGCCGGGTGACACGCAGCCCCAGCTTGGTTGTAAAAATAAATGATCGAGATGATGTTATTGTAAGATGATAAAAGGGGAGGAGGGAGAGGGAGGATGAGGAGACTTCCCTGATTTCAATCAAACCATGTTGCTTGTTGACTGCTGGCGACAAGCAGGCTGGACCAGGCCTGCTGGAATGTCTTGGCTGACGGAGAAAGTCCGCGTAGACTGAACTCTGCGTATCAATCACTCCGACAGCTTAGACCTGACAAATGACAGACTCTCTACAGAAGTCTCTCTCTCTCTCTCTCTCATTCTCTCTTGTTCTTCTTCTTCTCTCATTCTCTCTCTCTCTCTTTCTCATTCTCTCTTGTTCTCTCTCATTCTCATTCTCTCTTGTTCTCTCATTCTCTCTCTCTCTTTCTCATTCTCTCTCTCTCATTCTCTCTTGTTCTCTCTTGTTCTCTCATTCTCTCTCTCTTTCTCTTTTCATTCTCTCTTGTTCTCTCTCATTCTCTCTTTCTCATTCTCTCTCTCTAATTCTCTCTCATTCTCTTGTTCTCTCTCATTCTCTCTTGTTCTCTCATTTTCTCTCTCTCTCTCTTTCTCATTCTCTCTCGTTCTCTCTTGTTCTCTCATTCTCTCTCTCTCTCTAATTCTCTCTCATTCTCTTGTTCTCTCTCATTCTCTCATTCTCATTCTCTCTCTCATTCTCTCTCATTCTCACACTCTCATTCTCTCTTGTTCTCTCTCATTCTCATTCTCTCTCATTCTCATTCTCTCTCATTC